GCAAAGGGAAACTAAATAAGGAGCTCGGTTTACACGTTACCATTTTGGTGACGATGACAGGACAATGAATTTTATTGAAAGAGCTATTGTCAGGCTATATATATTATAGGAATTAAAGATACCTGAAGAAATGCAATTTACCGCCAAAAGCATATCGAAAAAAAGGAAAAGTGAAAAAAGATTCACGAAAAGAAGAAAGTGAATAAGGGAAGATAAAATTTTGTAATAATCGCCAGAAAAATTTTATTTATACATAGTGATTTTTAAGGTAAAATTTAACAAAATTCTATTCATAATAAAATTTACTCTTTTATCTGAAGATTATTATTATTGTTATCATATTCATTTGTGAGATAATATTTTTAATCACCTCTATTTTCTGTTAGTAAACAACTGCCAACCTCACAATAATAATCACCTTTTGTTCTGAAGAAAATGAAATGCGCGTCACATCCAATACAGTAATTACTAAACGAGCTGCAAACATTGAGATTTCTCCACGTTGAAACTTTTTGGGACAGCACAAACATTTAACAGAAAAATGACCTTTGTAAAACATAGATGCTGATCTTTCTAGTAAAAGAAGAAGGTAAATTGCCTTCAACACTTATGTTAGTATATGCAAATTATCGTTTGAAATTTCAATGAGTATAGATTTCTTTTTCATCACATTACCATTTCGTCACATTCATCAAATGTGACGAAATTAATATTAACGAAATAATTTTCCACCCACGAAAACACTTTGTCAGATATCACTAATTGAAGTTAAGAAACATAATATTTTAAATTGAAAGAAAAAGGATACATAGTAGGAGAAATATCACCTATAATGATAAGGACAGAAAGAAATTGACACCACCATCATCATCGAAAGAAACCATATATTATTATATAACTAGCCACACGCGGCTGAAGGATACTAGACATAAGTTTCAGAGTTAAAGCAAATAATGTAAAACTGTACTCTTGAGACAACTAATGATAGTAGGAAAGGATATATGACATGAGTTTAAGGAATAAACTATACCCTCAGGATCAAGAAATTATCCTATGAAATTTTTAATTATTAAAAAAAAAATTAAAAAAATTAATTTTTAAGTGAAAGTAAAGAAAGGAATGAATACAAAAAGGATAGTAAAATCCTTGATGAAATAAGAAGAAAGCCAAAACAGTGATCGATATAGGATCAAAGCTTTTGCATAATTTCAAACAAAGTCTAGAAAAATTGGAAAAGAGACCATTATAAATTATATATACTGTATATATATAATTAATTATAAAACGTAGCCATATTGGCTCTTTCTATAGTTCTTGTTACTAGCGTGTTGTTTGTATGTCTTGCTAGATATTTACCTTACTGTTGGAATTATGGCATGCTTCGTAAATCTACGGCTGTTGGGAATCAAATTCCTTGCATTACTGCTAATTTATTTTTAAATTTCGATAATGCCATGCCAAATTAATGACACACAATTTTGAAAATTGAAATGAATGAGCGAAATCTAAAATGGTACTATATTTTAGTGCTATAAAATAATAACTTATTCTATGTTGTGAAACAAATGTCAAAGAACATATTCATACAAATTTTTTTTAAGAACATCGAAAAAAAGGGGTTATTCTTGGGGATGTATAGAGATTGGTACCGCCTAAAAATTCTTTAACCGGTTAAAATAAGGTTAAAATTATAGATGGGCGTATAAATTGTTCTTGGGGTTGTCTAAAATCAAAATAGTTTTTTTTTTTGCGAGGTAATGTCACATAATTTTATTTATTGCAAGACAATGAAGATACATGGGTTACACAAAAAAGAAAATGACTGCCCCTAGTAAACTGATAAGTTAAGTTCACCATGAAACCAACCTTTTACCGTTACCTGCTAAATCAGGCCCTGTAAAGGTATTAAGATTTAATCCCTGACATTTAACATGGATATGTCTAAAAGTCAAAATAGTATTTAGACAAAAAACGTCTTAAAGTATAAATTAATATAAATAGTAATGATTTGCTTTAAATACAACTAAAAGTCACGTGGATATACACAAAATCCAATAAAAATCCAATTTCGACAATCATGGTCTAATTGTCTAAATGTCTAAATTAATTTTATACTTTAGACATTGTCTAAATAATTTAGTTGACACTTAAAATGTATATAGATCACTCTTAATCGCAATTGTCATGAATGGAAAGGATTGATATGAATTTTATTAGCTGAATCGATTTTTAATTTGTAGAAAGTTAAAATTAGTGTTGGTCGTCAAAACTATTTCGAAGGTCAGTAGATGAAATGAAATCACATTCATATTATCGGCTAATGCAAGAGAATGGAGAGTAAAAGTAAAACTGATCTACTACCTATTGAAATCTTTGTAATTATAATTTATTATCATCCATCATAGTTATCATATATTTGTTTTAGTGTTACTAAATCTATTATTATTATTATAGTTTATTGAAAGATCATATAACGGTTGATATATAATGATCAGGCATAAGAATTTTTCATTATTTAAAAGAAATCTTATTAAATCATCAAATAACAATCATTTTTTATTAATCTTCGCTTAAATAGAGTATTTTTAAAAAGATTTTTTTTTATATACTTAATCAGTTAGGTTATTTTGACTGATTATAGCCTCTACGGTTAACCAGTTAGGTTTTTTTGACTGATTCTAACCTCTACGGTTAACTAGTTAAGGGTAGACACTGTGTTATAACGGATGTTTAATTTATATCAAATACTGATACTAATAATAATGGTCGCGTAACGATTCTTTCTGATCATTTACCATAGATCCATTTTTTTTGGAAAAGACAATTTTAATTAATGCAACGTTGTATACATACCCTTTAATAATTTATTATTAATAATAGTATTATTACGTAATATCAACTAGAATATTTTGATCTTGAATTTCTACCACTGGCAAAAAAAAAATAAATAAACAATAAACGTTTGTTATGATGTACAGTTTTATCAAAAGTTTGACTAAGGCTGTGCATCTTTACAAAAATTTATTGCAAGTTAAGTTTGATTTTTTACCGGTTAAAACGGTTAAACGGTTAAACGGTTAAACGGCTAACGGTGCCAATCTCTAATTTTTCATATTATTAATATTGGTTACGTTTGTGTAACTTGTTAAAAACGAGTGTAAAATTATTTTTTATTTGAAGTTCCTATTCAAATAAGAATTATTCAAATTATTCCAACTGTTAATAATTAATTTTAATATTCAATCACATCAAATGATTGAACTTTTTTATTCAAAATAAACGATTCGAAACTCTGGAACTGTTTTTTATGCCAAAAACCATTTTAAAACTTCGAAATCAATTCAAAACTCCAAGACTTTAAAAAAAGCAAAATGATGCCATAAGTGCTTCATGTGAGAAAAGGTATCTTTTTCAAGAATATTATTAATAGAAAAAGGATCGACTAGTGATGTTAGTCGGCTAAGGGTTGTTTGGCATAGCCGGCTAACATCGCTAGGATCGACGTTTCACTCATTCATAGACGGATTAAATTATTACACGCATTTTGACATGTATTTTATTACATAAGCATAACTGTAATTCTTGCGTAACAAATATGAAACGTTTTTTATCTAAAATTAAAATTAAAATTTCTTAAAAAAGTAGAATGTAAGGTGAATACCGTACTAAATTTCTATAATTATATGAACTTCAAATTCTTGGTATGTAGAAAGTACACTCAATGAACATTACGTACCATTAGTATAATCTGACTTGCATCTTCATCTATATCATTCCAATTCTTATTACCATTGTCATCTTCTCATTTATATCAATCATTAAACAATTTGGAATAGCAGATTACTGAAACTGAATAAAATAATAAACGGCAGTAAAAAACTTGTTATAAAGCAATATTTGTAATATTGCTACGGCATTGTGTCAATTTTCAATACTACAATGCCACATAATGACAAGAATGACAAAATAAAATGGCAAATGAAAATATACAATACTGTCAAAAACTGAAAATCCATTCCACGTCATCTTATGTTACATCAATTTCTCAATAGGCAATTTACGCATATTAATATTAAATTTAAATTGATCCTTCGCCAATATCTCAAAAAAGGTTTTATTACAATACTGAGCATTATTGACGATAATGATAATACTGTTATTATGCATATGCGTTATTTTTTTAGAGAGTTTAAAACGTCCATATCAATAATCAAATTAGTAAGATTTAAAGTTTGCCTTACCGAACATATGATAAAAAAAGTATTCATAGTATTAATAATATTATTACATAAGGATTCCTTTGTTCAAAAATTATGATAAAGAATTCTATGCACGATCTAATTTAGATCGAAGATGATTAGCGCGTATCCCCAATTTCTCATTTGTTTTTTAAACTTAAAATTATGATTTCGTGATCAAGTCCAAACATCTTTTTCGAATGTTTTTTTTTTTTTCGTTTTAACGAAAAAATAAATTCGAGGATGCATATTAAAAAATGACCAATCATTGTATTGAATTTTTTGAAATTTTACATTGAATCTAGTTTTTTTTCATTTTTTGTTGGACTGACATAGTGTACTAATGAATAACGAACACTCGCTGAACGTTCAATCAGAGTCTGATTTTTTTTATCTCAAGTTCTGACTCTATACCAATTAATTTATAACAATGTCCACTGTTTTTTCATTTGGCACTTTTCTTTTCTTTCTATGTTTAACATTTTCCCGTAACCGGTCATTGTATTATTTCACCAATCATATGGATGACAATATTATTAAAGATTTATTATTTGTATATTAACAATCATTTTTGGTTTTATCCCACCCAGTTTTCACAATAACCATTTTTTTTCTTTCTCATTTTAATAAATTAATTTCCTTTTCTAATAATTAATTATTTTTTAGAAAATAATTATCCTAAATATTGCGAGTTTTAAATATTCGTGTAATTAAATAATAATAAAATATATTATTTAAAATAACATACTTTATACAACACACATGGATCCTGAGTTATTATTATATATTGATAAAGCACAACTTGGCGATGATGAGACTCACCTCATATTCAATCCTCCTTGTAAAGTTTACTCACAAATCACTGAATTTATTTCACCTAATCCCAATAATGTTGATACTATAGTTACCCCAAAACCACAAAACTGTTTTTTCTTATACCGCAAAAATTATAATGCAAAACATAAATCTCCTAGAAATAAAAAGGATTGGAAAATACTTTCAAAGGAAGCTGGTAACGCCTGGCATAATGAATCGAACGAAGTAAAAAGTTACTTTAAAGTATTAGCAAAACTAGCTCTTGAAAAACATAAATTAACTTATGAAAATATACTACTAAAAAATTTTATTTTTATTTCTCAACAACCAAAGCCACAACAAAACCAAATAGATAATAATGATTCTGCAGTTCTGCCATCATCCTATCTAAATCCTGATTCTTTCTCTTCTACTTATTATTGCACAAACGATAATACAAGCTTACAACTTAAACTACAACAAAAACAAAATGATAATTTAAATAATAACGATTGTGCACCTTCATCATCATCACCTCATACAGATCCTATTTTTTCTTGCACAAGTGATAACACAAGCTTACCTCATTTTATGACTCAACAATTAGAGCTGCAACAAAAACAAAGCGAGAATTTTCATAAGAATAATAATAACGATTATGCAGTTTCATCATCATCTCACCCATATTCTACCTTTTCTTACAAAGATGTTAGTATAATCTCGCTTCATTTCAGGGCTCAACAACCAGAAATACAGCAAAAACAAAAAGATAATATTTATAAGGAAAATAATAACGAACATGCAGTTTCATCATTGCTTTATCCACATTCTATCTCATTTGATTTTGACACTAATGCTGACTGGAATACAATTATTAACTACTTTCGACTTTAATGTTGATTGGAATTCATTTATTGACTTTATTCTCATGAAAATATGAAGATATCATCAGGAAAATAAATCTTACGTAAACCTACATAGGGTTCAGAATTAGCCAGCATTATGTCGATATTTTGGTAATTCTGTTAACATTTCCGCATAATGCTGGTCAGTTTTAAACCCTGCGTAGGCTTACGTGAGATTTATTTTTCCTGATGATGAACCAATGCAAAATAACAATAATAAACAAACGAATTGATAAATAAATATAATAACTTGTTATAATGACAATTTTGTTATAATGACATTTTTAAAGAGTAAGTTTTATACTATCTCAATTCAAGTTTGGTTGTAAAGATAAAAAAATTAATTTTACTTTTTTTTTTGCAACCCTTCTAATATTTTCTTCGTCTTTATTACCTTTATTGAGCCAGTTTTATTACAGCAGTCGCGAAGTACAAATCTGATTTGGTTAGCATAATTTTTAAATACAATATTTCCATTCAATAAATTAAAGATTTGCTTATTTAGCAGTTCTAACTTAATATAAAGTTGCGCATCCTTTTTAATCATCCGACGGTCATAGTATGCTTTTTTGTACAAGATAGCCTCTTTCGTCTTAATATAACAGCACAATGCTAAATTTAAAAATATATGAAATTTTTGAGCTACATTTCATCTTTCAGGTTCGCTTTAATGCTGTAATAGTTTAGGATGATCAACTTAAACATAGTTAGATGTTAAAAGAAAATGAGTATTTATTTATTTAATTTGACTCCATCTATCAGGTGAAACCAGTTAATTAATGTCATATAATGATTGGTTATATGTGATTTTTTTTTGTAATGAATATAGTAAACGTATTCTGTTTTCAAAAATGTAGGTACCAAATTTGCATGAAAGGTAGTATATTTTAGAGCTATGAAAATATTTAATATATCTAAAAGTATAAATGGTGTAATACAGAAAATTTCTTTCTATATATTACAATTGGACTTCCAAAGAAATAAAGATTCTCTCTCCATAGCACTGTTCTAGAAAATATCTCCTGATTAAAAACCTCTAATAATTTTATAAATGTAACGATTTTCCAGAAGCTTTAGTGATTGTAAGTTCGTAATACAATCAAACCTCGCCACGACGGATTCATTATCATGGTTCCAACCAAAAAAATCCGTTATGATAGGAAATCCGCTGTGGCAAAATAGTGATGATCGGCTATATACATGCGGAAATTAAATTATTTTGTGAAACAAGATGTAATGTTTGATTGCATTAGTTTCATTAATATTTTCACTGATTTTTGAATGATTTAAATTCTTTATAATCTAATTGACTTTATTATGAATCTTTGGAAAAATGACTCTATTTTATTGTTTTAAAAATTGATAAATAATCTATCAATTAATTTATTTTAGAAACTTGGAAAAATTTGTTACTTGCACACAATTGGATAAATAATCTATCATTTGTTGGTTATCGATTTATTTTAATAACTTGGAAAATTTTGATACTCGCAAACATTTGGACAAATAATCTATCAATTGTTTGTATTGGTTTATTTTAGAAACTTGGAAAGGTTGTTACTCGCAAACATTTGGGCAAATAACCTATCAATTGTTTGTATTGGTTTATTTTAGAAAATTAATCACTCGTAAGTCTTTGGGTAAAATTGTTTGGTTTATCGCTTTATTTTAATACTGACCTTTGTTTGATTAAAAATAATCTATTTGATTGTTTGTTTTATTATTTTATTTTAGAAACTTGGAAATTTAGATAATTTATATATCACGTGAATTCGCTGTAGCCATATAGAAAGACTCCCATCAAAAATCCGTTGGCGTTGTGGAACAAACATTTTTAATTAATAAAAAAAGGGCCAAGATTTAAATCTATTGTAACAAGAAATCCGTTGTGGTGAGGTCCGCTGTGACAAGGGTTTGACTGTACTAGTAAATAAAACATATTGTTTTCAAACCTATTCCTCCTCTGTCTTCAAAGATATTGGTACCAAATTTGCTTGCAAGATAATATACATTATATTTTAGAGCCATGGAAAGATTTAATGGATGTAAAAAAATATCAGTGGTGTAAAAAAACTTATTTGAAACACAGAAAATTTCTTTATTTATCATCTCTAGAAGTATTAGCTTAGCATGGTGGAAGTTTGATTTTATTGGACATAAAATGTTGGGGTGTGCGACATTCTATGAAAATCATAAATATTTTGATTGGTTATTTAACATATAATAAATTTCGGGCTAATAGTTTTGATGCATGTAACCTTCCATATTTATCGAATTTTTCAATAAAAAGGGTTAATACGTTTATCATTTGCCTCATATATCAAAATTTGTGTAATTTTTTATGTTAATAAAGTATC